GCAGTTTGCCTGATATTCGTGGGCTGATGTGATAATGTAGTGCAATCATGTATGGGACTACATGTACATGATTGTACAATGTAGTGCTGTATACATGGTATACATGGTATACATGGCATACATGGTATACATGGTATACATGGTATACATGGTATACATGGCAGTGTCTTGTATCAATCACGCATATACATTGTACATTGTAAAATGTATACAGTTTTCAGTAGAAATTGTTCTTGTTTTTTCCTTGGCTTTTGTTTTTTTTCCGCCCGCCCGCGTACCTTTTGTTAAAATTTGCCGACGAGAAACATAGAAAAAACAAAGTGTGGCCTAACATGACAAATAAAGAAAAACAAAATGCCCAATACGTCCGTATTGTTCATGTACACGGACGTGTGCAAGAAGACCGCGTGTGTCAAACACAATACTGTAACTACTTCGAAACATCATTCGAGTCATTGTATACCATTTTATCAGATCATAGGACTGGCTGTGGCATGCAGGTACTGTACATTGCAGAATACTATGTCTGATCTAAGAATATCTCAGACCGTTCAATACAAAAATGGTGTACATTATACAGATATGAGGCAGAACACACAGCCGCATTTATGCATTGCATAGTTATTATATGGGTTGCAGAATAATCTGAATGTCCAGAGAAAGGATCACAACACTGTGACCATCAGCACAGGTCACTGACAGACCAGACCTGAAGGACCGCGTGACCCCAGAAGACTACGTTTGTTGCAGCTGTGTACGAGGGAGACTTCGTCATCATAACACTGACTTATACTGCAGGATCAGCCATACGGAATATGTTTCATGTTGCCGAAAAAGGTCGACCTGTAGAGAATAATCAGGTCACAGAAAATACACAATTCCAATTCCAATGATCGCCCAACGTGTGGACAGAACTAGTTCGTCCTTTGTGGACTCATCAGCGCAGCACAGAGGAAATGAGGCCGAAGCCGATGGCAATGAAAAATAATCGCAATGATCATTCCCGTGCATTTTTTATATCTCCCACATTGATTGTAGTCCACATGTGACATTGATACTGAACACTGGGCAAACATCAGAAGGACTTGAATTTGGCATGATGTACAGTCACGTACATGTTCATGATTGTACAATGTGCATCACTGAACTCTAATGAACACTCAATCTTCAATCACATTATACACACCTGTCAGGATGGGCATTCTTTTTCTTATTCATCCTCGTCTTCACTGAGTTCTGCAGTTACTTGAAGCTCCAGTGGTTGCCCATTCTCACACTCCTGGCCCGAGTGAGAGCACTTGCAAGCATCCGTGCAATTGAGGTGCTGTCTCCGGCAGGAGCATTGTCCGTGCTTGCAGCCTGTCGTGCAACCGCATGAAACAAATTCCATCAGGCTCGATGGTGCTGGTGCCAAGCTGAGCCAGTCCACTTCCAAACCACCGCCAGAATCAATGGTCCACCCTTGACCAGGGCTATGCGGTGGTGGGACATCCGCGGAAGCTTCCAGAGCACGGTGCCAGATACTGGCCTGGTAATTTGCTCTTGCAGCATGCTTGCACAGCGCATCTTGGCAAGGAGGAAGGGAGCTGGATTGCGTCGAGCGAGAGCAGAACATCTGGTATCGCACTTCGTTGATAGATGTGGCGGTGTTGAAGCCGTATATACCGCAAGTGAACTGCTCGGTGCAGGCGAAAATGTCAGCTGGTAGTGCGTCAAATGATGCGCCGAGTGCTGCCATAGCCTTTCGAGCTAGCTCGCCTTGTGGGGTTTGCTTGGTGCTCAGCTGAAATGCTAGCTTCTTCCCTTTGCCACTGAAGGCACTGGTTGTGTCACAACCTGTATAGGCATGCATCCCCACCATGGCTTCGCAAACAGGGGCACTAAGCTCTCGTGTAATTCCTGTAGCATTGTTTATGGTAGTTAACCTTGCGCGCAAATATTCCAGAGACGGATTGACCAATTGCAACTTAGACCTTTTCGTCTTTTCTGCCGTTTGCTGCGTATAACAGCTTCACTGCAGCGTGTGCGTATTCACACCTGCTTGTGGACCGGACTACAATTCTTCCGGCCAGGTTGCTGGCGCCTCTCCTTCCCTCAAAATATGCAGCCCTTCATGCCTGGAGCTACGACGGGCGCGGCTAGTGCGGCGCGCGTGCTGGGGCGGCGCTTGGCTTCTGGCTCTATCGATTCCGGCACAGACAGTTCTTCCGAATGGCTAGATGAGGGGTACTCTGCCTTCGTCGGAGGGTTATATTCGTTATTTTCTGGTAACATTTTCTGTGGAAGCCTCCGTTTTCAGGCCAAACATCACTACGACATAACTCCCTGAGCTCAGCTAAATTTTCTACGGCAACAGCTTCACTAGTGCATATTTCACACACCTTCTTCCACGTTGTTTGGGTGAAGGGCTTCACCTCCTCACCGCACTCCGGAACGTGAATGAGACACTTTAAACTCATCACGACGCTTACTTCTAGTGCTACTTGACCACAGACATACTAGTACAAACTGAAACCAAAAAAACGATCTCGAAATGAAAGTTCAAACTGAGAAGGAAGATGCCAAGTGTAGTGGGTGTACGCCTGCACTGCAGTGCAGAGAGTTAGAATTGTGGGTGCACGCCTGCAGAGAGTGTGCAGTGCACCAGATCGTACCAGATCACGACTTGACATGACAGGTAGCACTGAATTCGTGTACTTTCCTCTATTCTGGTGCATAATCACATTTCACAGCACCACACACACAGCGTGCGTGCAGGCATTGTACAGCGCAACACATCGGGATCGTCGACTGTGCAGTGCACGTGTACTTACCGCACGTAAGTGCGATGTACGTGTACTTGTAGTACAACCAGGGAGCGCAAGAAAAGTACAACCAGGGAGTCGTAAAATACCGGTATTTTACGACTCCCTGAGTACAACGCGCATGCATGAATGCATACAAAACAATGGCCGCCGAGAGAGAAATTTTCAACATGGAAAAGCCGATTTTTGGATACCTTTCAGAAAGTTGTCAGAGTGACAACAACCGGAATCCTGCTCAGTAAGGTATCTAGAGTAGACGTGGCCAATAAAATTGCGGTGCCCAAAAGTCGGAACGAGATTTTTCTAGGAGGCCTTTTTTCAGGTTTGGCCCACGGACTACTCGCTCAACGCGCCCAACGACCACCCACCCGCGACCAACGACCACCCACCCGCGACCGCGTTACACCCCACTAGTACACATTGTACTGTGCAGCATGCATGTTAAGCTGTGTTCACAACTGGCGCGTGTACGCGTGAAACCACGCGTTTGTGCGTATTTTTGCTGGCTTTTGGGGCGCCATGCGTACGGAAACGCGCCGAAATGGAAATTCCATGTTGGAATTTTCAGCGCGTATCAGGCGCGTACCAGCGTACAGGCCAGTCACTTTGACTGGCGGGGTCAAAAAATTAGTACTCGAAGGTGTCGCACACCCTAAATACGACTCGGATTGCCGTTTTTTTGTGAAAGCCTGAGCGCGCGCTCGGGCACGCATGAACCGCAAGCGTACCGCGTCCACGCGCCAGTTGGGAACACAGCTTTAGATCTACACATCATGCAGGACGTGTAGACACACATGGTGCATGCACGGCACCTGACTGGTCCGAGGCTCCCAGTCGTGATAGCATAGGTGTGTGCAGTGTGATGCACTGATCAAAATGATATACATGTAGCGCATGTACATGTATAGTGAATATGGTCACGTGACCCACTGAACCTGGATAAGAAGACCACCTGGCCACGGCGAACACTTTTTCTCGTCCCTTGAGGGGTCGCCTGAGACAGGTTTCACTGTACATGCAAAATGGAATGGACGCTTTACAACATACCACTGAAAATCCAACTAACAATCAAACGCGATGCTCAGCCTGTGCTAAATACTGGAGTGGATGTAGAAATCCAGAAATCCGTTGAGAAGTCAAGCGGCCACGGGGTGCTAGCCTTGCTAGTCCAGTTTTACAGCGCATGTACGTGAACAACAGTGCATGTATGTGAACTACAGTGCATGTATGTGAACTATAGTGCATGTATGTGAACTATAGTGCATGTATGTGAACTACAGTGCATGTATGTGAACAACAGTGCTTGTATGTGAACTACAGTGCATGTATGTGACCTGCAGTGCATGTATGTGAACTACAGTGCATGTATGTGAACTACAGTGCATGTATGTGACCTGCAGTGCATGTATGTGACCTGCAGTGCATGTATGTGAACTACAGTGCATGTATGTGAACTACAGTGCATGTATGTGACCTGCAGTGCATGTATGTGAACTACAGTGCATGTATGTGAACTACAGTGCATGTATGTGAACTACAGTGCATGTACAGTCAACTTCGTTTATAACGACATTCGGCGGGGCATCAAAAAAGTGTCCTTATTCACGAAGTGTCGTTATACCCGAAGTCTCATTATATGTACTGCAGTTGGAAGGGACTTTGCTCTGGGCATGGGAATGCTGTCGTTATTCGCGAATTGTCGTTATATAAGCAGTCGTTATTAGCGAAGTTGACTGTACACGCTAAAAGCAGTAAGGGCGCCGACCGCGGTCATTCCATCGGATTTCAATGTAGACGGCAGTAGGTCTGTTGATACGGCTAGAACTATAATATCAAGCGTGCTAGCACATGACTGTGAGCAAACACTGGTGATAGTCCGGGACTGTTTTCCAGTCTGGCTAATGGAGTGTGTGTGTGTACATGTGTGTGTGTGTATGTGTGTGTGTACATGTGTGTGTGTGTGTGTGTGTGTGTGTGTGTGTGTATGTGTGTGTGTGTGTGTCTCTCTCTCTCTCTCTCTCTCTCTCTCTCTCTCTCTCTCTCTCTCTCTCTCTCTCTCTCTCTCTCTCTCTCTCTCTCTCTCTCTCTCTCTCTCTCTCTCTCTCTCTCTCTCTCTCTCTCTCTCTCTCTCTCTCTCTCTCTCTCTCTCTCTCTCTCTCTCTCTCTCTCTCTCTCTCTCTCTCTCCTCTGGAACAGCTTGTCATCACGTTCACTGGAAAACAAGTCGTTGCTGAACTGCTTGCTCAAAGTTGACACTGTGCACATGAAGCAGCTGCTCATCAATAACAACTCCATCACCCACTTTCCGGCAGGTTAGTGCAAACATGATCTGCCTTGTTGCATCTGCCCTTTGATCCTTAGAGAGGGCGATCGCCCTGCAGATTCGAGAGTCAGCCTGACCGGGCATTGCTGTTGTTGTTGTTGTTGTTGTTGTTGTTGTTGTTGTTGTTGTTGTTGTTGTTGTTGTTGTTGTTGTTGTTGTTGTTGTTGTCAATTAGTCTCTACCCCCTTCTCTCCCCATTGCGTTAGCGGAGACAAGACTTGTTATCGTATACGACACACAGACCGTGTATATGCTGCACTTTGTTTCGGAACACCCAACAAGGTGATCAAGTCTAGTGCCATGAGACAGAGTGTTCCCGAGATTCCGAAAGACTGAGACAGACAGACAGACAGAGAGTACATTCATAGTTTTCGGAAAGGTTTTCACCTGTTGAGGTTTAAACCCCTGCTTTCTCACCTGTGTTCAAGGGTCGATGGTGTTTTGCGGCTCCTGAAACCAAGAGTACTAGCAAGTTATTTTGTTTTGTTTCTTTGTTTAAAATTGAAAATGTCTCGTGCACCCTTGTTTGCCTGTGTGTGTGTGTGTGTGTGTGTGTGTGTGTGTGTGTGTGTGTGTGTGTGTGTGCGTGTGTGTGTATGTTATAACAGGTGTGTATGAGAGTGTGCGCCGGCTGAACTGCTCCGGCAATGAGTTGACCATTGACACGTGCCCGACTCTCGTGGCTTTCCCCAACCTAGAGGAGCTCAAGATAAAGGAGAATCAAGAAGTCACCAAACATGTAAGTACCGTAGTGTTGCTTGTGTTTTAAAGGCCTATCTCACGTTATAGAAACCTGTTTTGAATACACGATAGAAACCTGTTTTGAATACACGCCTGATCTTCAAGGTACGCTGTCGGCACACAAACCTGGTTTTAGTGTTCACACACATAGAAACACCTGTCTTGTATAGAAGCCTCGCCCTGACATCGGCTTCTCCAGGAATAAGCCCGGCTTTGATTCCGTCCCATTACGGTAGATTTGATATGAAGCTTTATGACTGATCTGTTGCCCTGATGTTGTCCTCCCGGGTGAACATTTGCAAACAATCGTTGACTCGTTGTAAACGTGCTGGACTGCTCGTGATCATTGTGCTGTCAATACCGCTAGTGCTACTGATGGTATCAAGTGGGGCGTTCGTTTTTGATCTACAGGTTTGGGTGGGAACTACTTCTTTCAGTAGATGCATTCCTTTTCTTTTCTACTCAAAGGAGTAGATTCTACCTTTCTCTACCGGCTCTACCAGGTTTGAAGCTGGTAGAGGTCGGTAGAAGTTGATAGAGGTACGGGATTTCCAGCAAGACTCCATGGAGAAAACAAACACTTCACGTACCTGTCCCTCCAGGAATCCGCGATTCCGCGGCCGCCGTAAAATCCGCGGAATTCCGCGGAATTCACAGTTTTCACCGCAGAATCGTGAAAAATCACGGTTTGGGGGCAATGCGAGCACGCGCTTCATGTTCATGCGCAGTGCAGTGTCCTGTCGCTATTTTGTTGCATTCAAAGTCGAGGGAGTGTTCTTCGTTACTGTATTGAGCCTATCGTGTGTTTTCGACCACTAAATTTTTTATTGATACTTGTACATAGCATATGGCCATGTCTTTTCGCCGGTGCAGCGCCGCAGAAATACCGCAGTATTGCCGCAGAATTCACGCTATCCGCCGCATAATGTAGCGATTTGTGCCGCAGAATTCTGCGCAGAATTTCAGTTTTCTGCCCGCGGATTCCTGGAGGGACAGACGTACATATCGTGAAAAACTACTAAATCCGGTAGGACAGCGTTCGTGCACTTACCTCTATCATCTACCTCTATCGGTAGAATGACTCTACTCTACTCTACCAGGTAGCTAAAAACGAACGCAACCCAAGGCTGATGAGCCTGCTCCCACCGCTGCTGCTATTGTTGTTGATGCTGCTCCCACCGCTGCTGCTGTTGTTGTTGATGCTGCTGCTGCTGTTGATCATGCTGCTAATTGTGATGGTAATGTTGATGCTGTAACGTGACCTACCGTATTTTCCGGGGTATAAGCCGCACCCCCCTTTTTGAGGCAAAATATTGACTAAAAGTTGGTATTCGGAGTATAAGCCGCACCCACAAACCAAGATGTTTCACACTCATTGACAAGTGGCCTTTCTACAAATTTATTATGGTTATGGAGCTAAATACCATGTTAGATCAGATTATGAAAAATAGAGTCCTCGTATACGCGTACCGTATGGTGTAGCCCGCGCACTAAAACTAGTAAAAGTGCCGGGATAGCAACACAGGCGCGAAGCTGAGTCGAATGACATGTCACATGACGTCAGCATGCATACTGATGTATGCATGCTATGCATTCATTCGCGCAAGTATATTCGGTGTATAAGCCGCAGGGGCGATTTTGGTCCGATTTTTAGCGAAAAAAAGTGCGGCTTATACCCTGGAAAATACGGTATGTATAATGTGTACATGTATGTCTTGCGATACTCGCTTGTCTTGTCCGTCTTCAGAAAGACTATATCTATCGGCTGCTGTCTCTGCTACCCAAGCTTCGGCGTGTGGATGGCAAGGTAAGAGAGCATGAGGTGCTCAGTGCAGTTGCGCTCGGTGAAATCCGACCCAAAGTGCAAAGCTGACGCCCTGGACCGGTTCCGATTATATCATTGTATTTGTACATGTATACGTCCAGCCGCATTCGTATCACTTCCAGGGCGTCAAGGGCGTGCTAGTTGAGGGCGCCAAGTATGCACTTTGGGTCGGATTTCACCGCGCACCAGTGTACATTCCACAGTCCCCTTGCAGGACAGAACTGCCATGGGAACTGCCATGGGAACTGCCATGGAGGATTGACTCACCACTATTCAACTTTGTGTTCCTTTACACGGGTTGTCGTTTCCGCCATCACTCTGCAGAATGCACCAGTAAGAATTGTGCGCACGAAGCCCGCGGGCGACGTATTTTTATTCTTCTTCTAATCCTACTGGTATATTGTGTGTGTGTGTGTGTGTGTGTGTGTGTGTGTGTGTGTGTGTGTGTGTGTGTGTGTGTGTGTGTGTCTGCGTGTGTCTGTGTGTGTGTCTGTGCGTGCGGTGCGTGCATATTGCTTTTCAGGATGTCCACGAAACCCGAGTGTTGGCCGAGTCTGAACTCAAGTCACAGGTAATCATCAGCTGTTCTTGCTAACCAGTACAGTCAGACCTCGCTTATCCAGTCCTCTTTTATCCGGATCCCTCGCCATCCGGAAGAAAATCGTTGGTTACCGATTTACAGCATATGCCATGCATACATACAGTATGATTGTGTGTTCGATTATCCGGTTCCCTCGCCTATCCGGATATTATTGTGAAAAACCGATGTGTGCGGTTATGCGAGGTCTGATTTTCCCGTCACAGTCACCCTTGGGGCAGGACCAACTAATTCACGCTCGCATATGGCATCACTTGTATGGGTCGCTCTTGAAGCCAGCAGGTCAAGGCTGTGATTGCGAGTTGTACGCACTGCGAATTATGTAGAACTTCCCAATCCGGGGTCGAAGCACACATAGTTTTGGGTACTGTGATCTCGCGCCGTCTTTCTGTATGTTACAGCTCTATTCTAGTGTCTAATTGCGGGTTGTGTTGATTGCGTTTGTGCGTTTGTTTATGTGTGTGCGTGTGTGCTGACAGATCAAGAAGATCTGGGCATCGTACTTTCGCAAGCTGCTCGGTGCCAAGCCTCAGCTGGATGACTTCCTTAAACTTACCAAGGTCAGCAGTCCCCCTCCCCCCCCCCCCCCCTCCCCTCCCCCTCCCCTCCCTCCCGTATTCATTTTGTCTTCCAGTACTGTCTGTTGCCAAAGAACTGATGTCAGTCTCGTAGCTCAGACCGTTCTTATTTTCATGTACTACGGTCTATGCACAGTTGAGTCACCGTGTATACGTTGGTATGCTGTGCTTGGTGAAATTCTAGCCTGGACGTTCTTATTCGGCGCTCCGTTCTTCGTCGACGCTCCGTTCTTCTTCGACGCTCCGTTCTTCTTCGACGCTCCGTTCTTTTTCGGCGCTCCGTTCTTATTCGGCGCTCCGTTCTTATTCGGCGCTCCGTTCTTATTCGGCGCTCCGTTCTTATTCGCCGCTCCGTTCTTATTCGCCGCTCCGTTCTTCGACGCCGGACATTACTGTTAACAGTGTTGAGTATAACCTGTTATGGTGACCACTTGGATAAGGTGACCACCTGTCCTCTATCAGAGGACCACTATAACCAGAGGCAAGGGGTGTTATTTCCAGTCAAATGACCCTGGATTAGGAGATCACCTGATCTGGAAGACCACTGCAACCAGGACTAAGGAAGACCCGTCGGAACCGGTCCGGTTGGTCAGGTTAACACCGGACCAACTTTTGGGAACACGTGTTTACTGCTGAGGAGGTCTTGTGTACCCGCCGCCATATCACACACACTCTGTATAAACGGCTGTGAAACTACCGGACCAATCAAAAACTGCTTCCGGCGGTCCTGCAAGGGGTGTTCTTTCCAGTCAGATGACCGTGCACCTGTACAACGTGCACACGGCCTGTTGCTACAGGTTCCGTCCAGTACAGTTGCGCTCGGTGAAATCCCACCCAGAGTGCATATTTGCCTCCCTCAACCTGCACGACCTTTGACGCCCTGGAAGTAGTACGAATGCGGCGGGACGTACACATGCACAAATTCAATTGTGTAATCGGGACGTGTCCAAGGCGCCAGCTTTGCACTTTAGAGTGCGTTTCAAAATTATAGACGCATAAAATATTTCAAAAATACCATGCCTCTATATTTTGAAATGGACTCTAGGTCGGATATCACCGAGCGCAGCTTGGGTTGTATTGTAAAGCTTTGTTTGTACTGTCAGAACTACGGGCACTTTATCTACCGAATAGACCTGTTGCATAGATGACATGACAGCCATGTTGGCTCCCTCCTACAGCAGTCAACCCTTGCGTCCATGGCTCACATGATGTCGGTGGTCATGTGGGCTCCGCTGTCCACGACACCACATGCCATGATTGCTTTGTACACAGATTTAGTCACATGACCAAGATGTGAACTCTATTCTTTATATATATCTCTCTCTCTCTCTCTCCCTCTCTCTCTCTCTCTCTCTCTCTCTCTCTCTCTCTCTCTCTCTCTCTCTCCTCTCTCTCTCTCTCTCTCTCTCTCTCTCTCTCTCTCTCTCTCTCTCTCTCTCTCTCTCTCTCTCTCTCTCTCTCTCTCTCTCTCTCTCTCTCTCTCTCTGCAGGAGCACGCTGATCAAAGTTTCGACACCAGGTCCCTGAGCGGGCAATTCAAGTTAAAGCGAGTATGTGTTACTAACTGCCTGCTGCTGATGTTGATGAGAACCCACTGGTTGCTGTGGGAAGCATCCAGCCACGCCTGTGTATGGGTGTGTGGGTTGGTGTGTGTGCACGTGTGTGTGTGGGTTGGTGCGCGCCTGGGAGGGGGTGCTTATAACTTCATCTGTGATAGTGAATCTGTTTCCGGTTGGTCCTTTGTCGGTGGTTTTGCATTTTTTGCCTCGTGCCGTATGCTGCAGACGACATATTTCTCATAACCTACACACACACACACCTTCCTTCCTTCGCCCACTGCCACAATTGGCTATGTGTCCCCAAACGGGGCAACTTGAAGGAGTGCTGGCTTCGGGATGCGGCATGAGGCACTGCGAGTCCGGCGGGACGTGAACGGCTGTTTCACTGTTTGTGACACACACACACCTTTGACCTTTGACCTTTGACGCCCATCGCCGGAGGCGATGATAGCAATGCTACGGCAGAAGCCATAGCAACTTGTGCTGGGATTACACCATTCAACAGCTTGCAAGGCTGAAGAATTGACCGTCACTATTCAGCCTGGTCTACACCATACAGCTATTTGGAGTGACATTTTCTGGCCAGTGAATCCCTTTTTTGGTCTTTTTCATTTTTTTTTTTTTTTTTTTTTTCCCGCACACACATCACACCACACACACACACACACACTCACACACACACACACACACACACACACACACACACTCACACACACACACACACACACACACACACACACACATTTTGTCCGCATTCTTATCACCGTGCGATCTGCTGTATCCTCTGTTTCTTGTTTAGTTCGTCCCACTGGCTGAGCGGTATTTCAAAGAGAAAGTCGTTGTGGCCAGTGCTGCTGCGGCATCTCATTCCTCAGCTCTCTCATCACCTCTCTCCTCTCCCACTGGTAGGTCTTCAGTGTGACGATGTGCTCTTTTCCCTCCGTGTGTGTGTATATGTGTGTGTGTGCGTGTGTGTGCGTGCGTGTGTGTGTGTATGTGTGTGTGTGTGTGTGCGTGTGAATCACACGCACTGGCCAGAGAAAGCCACTTCAATCAGGTGTGTGGTGGATACCAGGCAAAAATTAGTGGCGGTCAATTCATCAGCCTTGCAAGCTGTTGAATGGTGTAATCCCAGCACAAGTTGCTATGTCTAACATAGCCGTTCGCTATCATCGCTTCCCGCGATGGGCAGGTCTGAGGTGTGCATGTGTGCTCTTTTGTCTCTGTGTGTGCGTGGAATTGGGGTGTGGGTGGGCGTGGGTGTGCATTTCGTCTATGTGTGTGGGGCGGGCGTATGTGTGTGTGGGTGTGTGTGTGTGTGTGTGTGTGTATATGTGTATGTGTGGGGGGGGGGGGGGGGGTGTATATGTGGGTGGGCGCGCGCGTGTGTGTGTGTGTGTGTATTATTTTCTGCGGGACGTTGCAGATGTATTGTTTTAACTGTAATACTGTAGGCTTTCTGAAGTGATATGCTTGTGTTTAACGAGGGTATGAAGACGGTGAGGTCACTTATACACTTTGTATGTGTGTCTGGGGTTTGTTCCCTGGTTTGTTAATTCATCATGGAAATACGATGATTTGTGTGTATGCCTCTCTCTCTCTCTCTCTCTCTCTCTCTCTCTCTCTCTCTCTCTCTCTCTCTCTCTCTCTCTCTCTCTCTCTCTCCTCTCTCTCTCTCTCTCTCTCTCTCTCTCTCTCTCTCTCTCTCTCTTTCTCTCTCTCTCTCTCTCTCTCTCTCTCTCTCTCTCTCTCTCTCTCTCTCTCTCTCAAACTATCTCAATCTATTTATCTATCTATCTATCTATCTTGCAGCTACGCTGAGCACGCCGATGAGTCCGTGTTTCGAGGCGGGCCGCGCCATGTCCATACGCATCACACGTACAGTAGCCAGTCCCAGCAAGGGCAGCAGCAGCAGCAGTCCCAGCAAGGGCAGCAGCAGCAGTCCCAGCAAGGGCAGCAGCAGTCCCAGCAAGGCCAGCAGCAGCAGCAGTCCCAGCAAGGGCAGCAGCAGTCCCAGCAAGGGCAGCAGCAGTCCCAGCAAGGCCAGCAGCAGTCCCAGCAAGGCCAGCAGTGGCGGTGGCGGTGGTACTTCAAGTGACAGCACGACTCACTCAGCATCCAGACAGGAGCCAGCACCAGCAGGCACGACATCATCCGTGACATCATCATCCCCCACGACGACTGTACGTCGCCAGGGCACCCGCTCTTCACCGATGCGCAGCAGCAGCAGCAGCAGTGGCAGCAGCAGCAAGCACTCCGGCAGATCGGCGACGGGTAGCAGACGTTTGCTTGCCACACAGCGGCACACCGACGGCAGCGTGCGTGTCCCGGCCGCCACGGACGGCTGTACCAACGGCAGTGTCAACGGTTACCGTGACAACGATGGTTGTCATGACGATGGTTGTCATGACGACGGCGACACGACCACCACCACCGCTACTCAGGACAGTGATGATTTGGAATCGCCGGTGTTCGCGGCGCCGTCACAACGCAAACAGCGCAAGATGGCCACCCTGGCGAGAGAAATACTGCGCAACGTTTTAACAGACGATGACGACAGTGACGACGCCGACGAAGAGGAGACGACGGAAGCGGACGGCAGCACCGACAATCAACAACACATGCCGTCTCGGAAGAGAAGATGCGTGCGCGCGAGCACTCAGACGCCGATGGTGCCCACTAAAGGTGATGCCCTGGTTCTGGAAGCATCGGCGGCGTCAGGGTCGTCGTCAGGGGGAATGAGAACACGCTCCCGCAGTCCGTCGCCCGGCCCAGCTAGCCAGCGCCATACCGACAGCAAGGCTACCAACCGTCCTCCTCGTCTTGCTTCTAGCAGCGGCACTGCTTCCACTCTGCCCATCAGCATGACACTCAACAGTAGTGCAGAGAAACAGCACAGCACTCGGCGGCCAACGCCAAAGCTTATGGAGTCGCACTCACCAGTCGGTGCTAAGTCTCGCAAGCGTCGGTGTCTTCTGAGCTCGTCGAGATCCTCTCGAAGTCCGCCCGTATCCCCACCGACAACCACCCAGGACAGCAGAACCGTCAGGCCGGTGAAAGTGACAGCGTCACGAAAGCAAGCCAGTGTGGCGGTGATTGATAATGCTAGCGCTGCGCCGCGCAAAGGGAGGAAGTCTGCCAGCCAGCCGTTGGTGCAAGCGGAGGACATGGAGGTGTGTTTTGCGGCAAATCTACTGTGAACTGGAACTGGCGGACCTCGCTTGTTACGTGCAGTGTATTTGTGTGTGTGTGTGTGTGTGTGGGTGTGGGTGTGTGCGTGTGTGTGGGTGTGGGTGTGTGCTGCCTGTTTTGTGCACAACGCTTCTTCCCTAACCCGCCATTTGCATGTCTCTCTGAAGTGCATACCGGTGCGCTCTCTGCGGACGATGGCAGAGACCTCTGCTGGAAACAGGATCAGCTACACGAGTATCCATATCCTTCCTGTCGTCTCTCTTTCTGTTGTTTTCTCGTACCATATAATTTCAGACGGCAGCGGGCGATTGGAAGTGTACTCGCTTGCTGCGTTGCCATTCCGAGAACAACTCGCCCGACGACGACGAAACTAGCGTGTTCAACGTATCATTCCCTGAGTCAGGTGAGGAGGAGGACAGCTGTGCGGCTGTGTCTGCAGATAGAACTGTTTTGTGCTTTGTGGACGCATAACTTTGCTTTAATGTCCACTGGAAATGGCAAAGGTAGCAGCTGCTTTTAGTGGAAAAAGCACTCGCACCACCAAATGCACTAGCGTAGCACCATGGAAGCAACACATTGTACCTGGGGCATGTGGCCAGTGACTGCACAAGTGCACTTGGTTCACGTGCTCCCCTACAAAATGTGGTTTTGTTGTAAACGAAAACATTTCGCTACAAACAGGGGGTCAACTGTGCATGTGCTCAAATTGCGCATAGACAATGGTTTGCTGTGTCAGGAGAGTGGTTACATGTGAGTGTGTTGTACTGCGGAGTCCACTGAGTATAGAGGTTATGCAATTGGCAATTGCACCATCAGTTGAGGTGCTTTTCGCAGTCACATCACGGCGATGCACTAGCGAGGTGCTAGCGACTCATTTTGTATTCTTAGCACCCATAAGCGATCCCGCTGTATTCTCAGTGCCAATAAGTGGTTCCGGAATTCCGCTGACTCGCCATTATGACTTATTTCGCGTAACGTCTATACATGTATGTTGTGTTCCTCAAGCTGCTTGTGCTGCTGCTGCTGCTGCTGTGTACACTGTATGTATGTATGTATATATGTATGTATGTATGTATGTATGTATGTATGTATGTATGTATGTATGTATGTATGTATGTATGTATGTATGTATGTATGTATGTATGTATGTATGTATGTATGTATGTATGTATGTATGTATGTATGTATGCATGCATGCATGCATGCATGCATGCATGCATGCATGCATGCATGCATGCATGCATGTATGTATGTATGTATGTATGTATGTATGCACATGTACTGCTTGTGCTGCTGCTGTGTACACTGTATGTATGCACGTGTACTGCAGGGGGTGATGTGTTTGCGTCCGCTGGCGGTAACAGTGTGTGCGTTATCAACGCCAAGTCCGGACAAGTGCTGAAGAAGTTCAAAATGCCCAAGGAGGTACGTAATTTATGTCCCTTTGTGTGTGTTGTGGGGGGGGGGGGGGGGGGAGAGGGAGGGAGGGGGTAGGGGGTCCTAGGTTCCTAACCCAAAATGCTCAAGGAGGCACGTAGGTTTGTGTCCCTTTTTGTGTGTATTTGTGTGTGGGGGGGGAGGGGGGGGGGGGAGGGGTGTCCTGACCATGGATCAGACAATGTACATTGCGTCGTGCGCTGAATATGTATTCAAAGTGGCTGCGGAGTTAGGGGCCGTCCAAGGTTACCAATAATATTTTCAAAACGAAAGGTTTTCGTTTGTGGGTGGGTGGGTTTGATGGAGTCTTCGTTTTGAAAATAATTATTGAATGCTGATGGAGAATGCCCAGTTACTTCTGGGTGTCGAAAATTGACATCAATATTTTATTGGAATTCGTTTTACCTGCAGAAAAGGTGGGTGGGTGGTCGGGGGCTGAAAAATACTAAAACTTTTCGTTTTGTAAAAACAATCGGTAACCCCGGACGGCCCCTTACAAGTGGACTGAGTTTATCTCGGGGTTCTAACCTTGATCTGGAAAGCTGCACATTGGCATCTGTCACTGAAACTGAGCATTTTGGCTGCATCAGACGCGCTACGTTTACTGCCATATTGACTGTACCACTCTTTTTCCCTGGTACCCATGAATCAATCAAATGCACTTATTTGGGGTCTAAATTTCTAGACGTTCGGGGACCCCCCTCCAGGAGTACTGCACTGCTCATAGCTGAGCGCATGATCCTAAAATGCGTTTCGACGTCCCTGGACCTTTCTACATAGGAAGAACATTGGGGGCACAAGGACACACATTTGCTGTTGCTGTGTGTCTATTTTTGATTCAGACTTTCTTTTCCGTCTTGTGGACGACAACGAGTATACGTGGCAAGACGGATGAGCACCTATTGGCAGCTTCGGGTGAGCAAGGGAGACAGAGATAGGACAGAGACAGAGAGCCAGACAGAACACAACACACACACACACAAACACACAGAAAGCGAGAAACAGAGTGCTTGCATGCGCGTGCACGCAAGTACATTCCTGATTGTGACAAACTGGACCAAGTAATTAGTTGGTAGAGTTCATCCACCCCACCCCTTCACGCCGTATCCGTTTCAAGACTCACTAATCCCCTCTCCCTCTCTCCCGTGTGTTGTTATCTTGTCCACTGACAGGAGAGAAGGGCGATATCTACATCCTCAGCATGACATACAACGTGTGCTTCCACGTCATCACCAGCCACACTCGCACCATTAGCTCGCTGTCCTTCATGCCCTCACACCCAGACCTGCTGGCTGGTAGCGCCGGCCGCTTCATACAGATCCACCAGCTAGGCACCGTAACCGGGGACGACGAGAGAGAGCTGAAGATGAAGAGCACGTGAGTAACGTCGCTGCTGCTGTTGTTGTTGCTGCTGGTGTTGCTGTTGCTGGGTAGTGTAGGGGAAAGTTGCTTGTTCTGATCACGTGCACACACGCACACGTACAATACAATACGATAGTAATACCCATCCGCAGATGATGGCAGGTCCTAAAAAGGACCACCAGTGTCTGACAACTTGTTGTTGGTGTGAAACTTACTCTCACAACAAATACAGTGACACTCGCCTAATTCGGATTTCCAGATACTGGGCCCTCTCGTGTATTGGGCACCTTTCTGACCCCTATGGAGTCACAAAATTGTCTTTCCAATAAAAATAATGACTCCGAAACTACGGATTGGCGTCAAAATGCTTCCATGCATGCATAACAGCCGTGGCATGCGCTAAGTATGTATGTTCTGCGTTACGGGCGATTTCTTATACCGGGCAGTGCCTGGTCCCAACCTGCCCGGATTAGGGGAGCAGGGGCAGTGTCCAGTCCCAACCTGCCCGGATTAGGGGAGCAGGGGCAGTGCCTGGTCCCAACCTGCCCGGATTAGGGGAGTAGGGGCAGTGCCTGGTCCCAACCTGCCCGGATTAGGGGAGTAGGGGCAGTGTCCAGTCCCAACCTGCCCGGATTAGGGGAGTAGGGGCAGTGTCCGGTCCCAACCTGCCCGGATTAGGGGAGTAGGGGCAGTGTCCGGTCCCAACCTGCCCGGATTAGGGGAGTAGGGGCAGTGCCTGGTCCCAACCTGCCCGGATTAGGGGAGTAGGGGCAGTACCCGGTCCCAACCTGCCCGGATCAGGGGAGTAGGGGCAGTGTCCGGTCCCAACCTGCCCGGATTAGGGGAGTAGGGGCAGTGCCTGGTCCCAACCTGCCCGGATTAGGGGAGTAGGGGCAGTGTCCAGTCCCAACCTGCCCGGATTAGGGGAGTAGGGGCAGTGTCCAGTCCCAACCTGCCCGGATTAGGGGAGTAGGGGCAGTGTCCGGTCCCAACCTGCCCGGATTAGGGGAGTAGGGGCAGTGTCCGGTCCCAACCTGCCCGGATTAGGGGAGTAGGGGCAGTGCCTGGTCCCAACCTGCCCGGATTAGGGGAGTAGGGGCAGTACCCGGTCCCAACCTGCCCGGATCAGGGGAGTAGGGGCAGTGTCCGGTCCCAACCTGCCCGGATTAGGGGAGTAGGGGCAGTGCCTGGTCCCAACCTGCCCGGATTAGGGGAGTAGAGGCAGTGCTCGCACCCAACCTGCCCGGATTAGGGGAGCAGGGGCAGTACCCGGTCCCAACCTGCCCGGATTAGGGGAGGAGAGGCAGTGCTCGGTCCCAACCTGCCCGGATCAGGGGAGTAGGGGCAGTGTTCGGTCCCAACCTGCCCGGATCAGGGGAGTAGGGGCAGTGTTCGGTCCCAACCTGCCCGGATTAGGGGAGTAAGGGCAGTGTTCGGTCCCAACCTGCCCGGATCAGGGGAGTAGGGGCAGTGTTCGGTCCCAACCTGCCCGGGTTTGGGGAGCTCTACAGTACAATGCTCAGTTCTGTTCAAAGTGTGTTCGATAAGTGCTTTTTGGAATATGTGGGTGAGTGTGCGTGTGCGTATGAATGCGTGTATTTTGTATCTTTGTTTCTCACCAATTCTGCGTTCATGTCCAGTCGCGTGTGTAACTTGACAGCATCGTCACACATCGCTCAGATCAGTATATCGGAGGACTGTCGCTCTCTGCTTGCAGCCACGCAAGATGATGTTGAGGTGTGGAAATTCAGCAAGCCGTGGAAGACAGTGTTAGCCGAGAGGAAGACTTCGGATGTACTGATGTGAGCTGCTACTTGACGTGCATGTGCGCCTGCGTGTGTGTGTGTGGGGGGGGGGGGGGGGGGGTGCACGTTGTTGAATGGTGTAATCTTAGCACAAGCTGCTATGTCTAACATAGCTTGCTCGCTATCATCGCTTCCGCGATGGGCATGTGTGTGTGTGTGTGTGTGTGTGTGTGTGTGTGTGTGTGTGTGTGTGTGTGTGTGTGTGAGTAGGAAGCAACGAGTGGGTTCTGTGCCGGGGGGGGGGGGGGGCACCCTGCCCCAAAAAATGAGGTATTACACTGTAATAATCGACGCGGAGACAACACTTTTATAATAGCAATAAAGAGAACAAATTCTGCTGTCATCGCCACACTACAACAAAGTCATGAAAGTTTACCAAAATCGATTTTCCCGTCACAATCATCAGTGGAAAGCCGTGACTGAAGACTTGAGGCTGTTTGTATTCGTTTGCATAAGCCTGATCTTTGTAAGCAGAAGAAACATGTAGTTGCGTTAAGATTGTTTTCGTAGGTGCACAGCATGATTGTTTGTCTCACTACACAGTTCTAGCGTTGCAATTAGTTTCTCACCCCTGTTGCACTTAACTCTCACTTCACTTCTATTGTCTCACCTTCCCTCATTCTATTTTAGCACTTTATTTTGTTCTCGTAACACATTATTGAGTGTATATTAATCATTGATTCAGCATGGTTGCTCTTCAGCATGGTTACTCTTCAGTCACGGCTTTCCACTGATGATTGTGATGGGAAAATCGATTTTGGTAAACTCTCATGACTTTGTTGTAGTGTGGCGATGACAGCAGAATTTGTTCTCTTTATTACTATTATATTACACTGTAAGCATGCATTATGGGTTTGAGTGTCACGTGTGATGGAGAGAAGGCTTGAGCAATGAACAACAAAAGGGAGGCAATTGTGAGAGAATGGAATAGGAAAATGCGAAAATGTAGTGTGATTGCATTTTTGACGTACTTACTGTAATGCAGTCTGTATTGTAGATCAAGCCATCTAATCCACTCTTCTCTCTCCCTCTCTCTCCCTCTCTCTCTCTCTCTCTCTCTCTCTCCGCCTAGTCGTGACGGTATATCCCATCGCAAACTCAGTATCTACCCGGATGATCTAATTGTGGATTCGGCCGTCTTCCTGGCAAACAACATGTTTGGTGAGTGGTGTTTTTCAACATGTTTGGTGAGTGGTGTTTGGTGAGTGGTGTTTTTCAACGTCCGGACTCTGAAGGGTACATACAGTGATGTTTGAACTTTTCACCGTGTTCGTTCTACACGGTCGGGTTTTGCATGGCGGTGCGTACAGTCTGGGTCCGGAACATGGAGAACCCGTTTAGAAGCGGGGGTCAGGGGGGGGGGGGGGGCGTTATTGCATGGATTCTTCAGTTGTTGTTGTTGTTGTTGTTGTTGTTGTTGTTGTTTCTATTCTTTATATTGACGATGGCCTATGGCCAATAAGAGAAGTTGTTGGTGTTGGTGTTTTTTGAATTCTTTATTCTTACGATGGCACCATCACAAATAAGAGTTGTTGTTGTTGTTGTTGTTGCTATGCAGCGTCCCGCTCAGCACCGTGCGCGGGAGATCTTGAGTTGTGCATCCTGGATGGCAAGGTACATAATGTTCTTGTCGCACACACACTGGGTGCGTTCGATTACTGCCATGAATCGATTCATGAATGGAATCTCGTCGCTCGACTTCATGTCATGAGCCCTGGAATCGGTTCAGACTCCATTCACCCTACTTCTTCCGGAAACAAAAAACTTCGTGACATTTTACCTGACTTTTCAAGGAGTTATTGTGCTCAACAATAGTGTTCTTTTGGAAGAGAAACACTTCGACACATTCAACGGACATATCTACAAGATCGATTGATGGGAATAGAGTCTCAGTCTGGGTCGCCATCGCTCGATTTATCACTATTCATCACCACTGAAACTGTTCAAAGTGGCAAGTCGATCGACGCGATCTCGTATGACACGGAGAAGCTTCTCCTGATCGTCTTCGCTGTTACCTGAATGCCTTCTCCAACACCTCGACGGAGACCACGGTGGCGCTGGCACTCATTATCGCCTCCGCTCTCGAGGATGCCCCGGAACAACAAACACAGGCAAAGTCAAACATGTCACATTTTCTCCTACAAAGTAGGGATAGTCGTACCAGCATTTCACGACTGCCGCGATCAGATCTCGCCTGTTCTCCTTTGCAACCAAGGACACTTCGTGGAGGCTGCTGGAAAAGGCAAGATCATCCACGTTGAAGTCTGGGCTCTGCAGTGGCTGAACGACGACTTCGATTTTGAGCGTCTTTTGCTTTGTCTTGCCTAGGTGTACACCAACTGCAAAACGCTGCTGTAGCCGGTGGTGTACAAATTGTATCCATCTTATCTCCCTCTGTTCCCACTGTGTGTGTGTGCGTGTGTGTGCGTATGTGCATATCTCTCTCTCTCTCTCTGTCTCTCTCTCTCTCTCTCTCTCTCTCTCTCTCTCTCCCAGAAGGTACATACATCCACTCTGCAGTATCCGGAAAACCCCATGACGGATTTGAGAATGTCTGCAACTTTACACGGCGGTGAGTTCACTAGTCGCTAGTCACTATTGCTGCGCTTTCCAGTACATGTACTGGGTATGCGTGTCCATTTGTCAGTTTGTGCACAGATGGGGGATGGGGGGTGTTGGAGTTCGCAACTATGTTTCTTATAATAATACCATTGCTACATGTATGTTGTTTCAGACGGCAGCAGCACACTGTTGGCTGGCGATAGCCACGGTGCCGTTCACGGTTACCGTGTCAACGGTGGTGGGAGCAAGAGAGCTAAGAGTGCGTCGTCACGGAAACCAGCCGACTGGGTAAGTGATGATCACCGTTGACAAGAGTACTCGATTGGCGAGGCGGGTTGGTAAAATAGCTACTCCGGTAAGCCCACTGGACGTCATTTGTACGGCGGTGAACACCCCACACTGGTTTTCAGGGATCAGTTGCTGGTTATTATGCCATTCCGAATCCGTCGAAAAATCTTTCCCGGACAAGGACAGCTCAGTTCTGACTTCTGAGGACCCCCTGGCTCCTAGACTACACAGCCAACTGGGCATGGTCGTGTGGGGGGGTGTTGAACAGTGCATTGCTGATCCCAGCGTACTCTCATGCATTGCTTATGCAATCCATATCTGGCAATGCGCAATGAGCTTATTGGCGAGGCTGGTTGGTAAAATAACTACTCCAATAAGCCCCCATGCGCATTGCCAAATATGGATTGCATGAGTAGTGCATACGAGTACGCTGTGATCAGAAGTGCTCTGTTAAACACTCCACACGACCATGCCCAGGTGGCTGTTTGGGGTGTTTATGGCACAAATACATTGCGCAATGGACTAATAAACTTCAAGGTACCTGTGCATCTACTGCCTGTTTCTATCAAAGCAGAGTGCTGTCTATAGGCCTTATTTGATAACGTGATTTTTGGGCTCGCCAAGGGACTTGTCGCAAGCTAGGGCACGCGTACATGAAACGAGTGGCAAGAAAGGCCCAGTTCGTACAAGGGAGTAGTAAAATACCAGTATTTTTCTACTCCCATGTTCCCACGCCGAGTCCACTGTGCACTGAGTGCAGGCCTCTTGCCACTCCCTGGCCCGGGTCCCGGGACACCGGTTCACGTGATTGTGACGTTTTTAATAAGGTCTATACTGGTTACCCCAGCAAGTGTAGGGTGTGCATAGGTAACTGTCTTGAGAAAATCTTGTGGGTGCACATCCAGTGCATTTGTAGATCTGTGTGCTTCTCTTGCGACTGGCGTGTACATGGTACATGGTGTGTGTGTGTTTATGCGTGTGTGCGTGTGTGTCCGTCTGTCTGTTCATCATATGTTCCGTGTGTTTTGTCATGTGTTCAGGTGTTACAAGGCCCGTCGTGTGCCGCACTGCACGTAACCATGCGTGGCCAGTATGTGGTGGTGTGTCACGCCGACAACCTGATTGCAATCTGGGAGAGATCATCGCCACGGTAACACGACACAGCACGGTGTTCAACCACTGGTTGTGCACTGCATCTTCCAGTGCTGAGGCAGCAGCAGTGTCTCCGGTGATATGGGTTCTCTCCGGTGAGGCAGCAGCAGTGTCTCCGGTGATATGGGTTCTCTCCGGATTACTAGTAAGTAGTAGTCATCCTTCCGGTTGATCTGGTGCTGTGGCTTTTCAACGTGCTGACTTTCTCGGCTAAGACCGCAGCTGAGCGTAATGAGTTGTGATGATGATAGTATACTGTAGTTCAAGGTTCAAGGTGTGTGCACGTCGCACGATGTGTTCCTTCTCTCCGTCTGCTGCCCGTTTCGGTGCCCACATGACTGCTGCGTGCCAGTGGCTGGACAGGAGCGCGTGTGTGTGTGTGTGTGCATGTGTGTTCACGTGACAGAGAGCAGACATGCGAGTGTGCGTGTGTTCATGTGACAAGGAGCAGGCAAGCGAGGCTTCGAACCGAAGAGCCGCTTGCGCACATACGGCACTGGATATCCTGTGCACGGCACAGCTACGCAACTGCCCTCTAGCCTGGCTGCGCTATCATGCAGGTTAACCGCTCTTCTTCCGTCGTCTACTCCTGAACCAAAACATCAAAATGTTGTTTGCCAAGACGCACCGAAGACTGCGGTGCGTTACTGTGCATGTTGTGTGCAATCCCGCTTCATCGGCGCTGCACTCTGTATTCTGCTTTGGTGGTTCTACTTCGAAGTAGAATTCTCCGGTTTTACCATCTCCGTTCTCTCTCTCACTCACTCTCTCTCTGTCTCTTCTTCCCCCCCCCCCCTCTCTCTCTCTCTCTCTTTCTCTCTCTCACTCACTCCCTCTCTCTTTCTCTCTCTCTCTCTCTCTCTCTCTCTCTCTCTCTCTCTCTCCTCTCTTTCTTTCTCTCTCCCACATGCACGCCTTCTCTCCTCTTTTTTTTAATTTCCTGCTCCCTCTCGCTCTCTCAATCACTGATTTTATCTTTGCAGAGTTTGAGATTTTCCAAAGATTTATTCCGCTGACTTACGATACTTCCTATAAATGTTTTGTAGTGGGCCGCGCAGCTGCTTTTCTACCGAAACCACACGCTCAACTTCTTGAGTGAAATCCTTTGTATTTATGATTAAGGCCTGAGCCTTGAGTTCGATGCTTTGGTGGTTGTGGTTGCCAATAACGTTACTAATCTTTTTTCTGTCAACACGCCACTTCTTGTACATGTTGAGCGGCGTTTTTGGGATGCAAGCGTTGCCATAGTTACCATGTGCACCCCTGCTTTGTAGCGCCTTTGCTGTTAGTTTGTGTGGTCGACAGGATGAGTAGCAGTGGTGACGCTTCCTGCAGCTTACAGGAAGTACGGTGCTGCTCGTTGAAATCCAGTCGCGTCGCTCAAGCTCGCGCCTTGCACCATTTCGCAGCCCAGTGGTCGCAGGTCTAGGGCTGCGCAACGCCGGCTCATACTTGAGTGACGCGACTGGATTTCATTAAGCAGTACAATCATGTAGACTGTAGCTAAGAATAGGCCTGCTCTTTCCCATTCACTCTGCAACACTATCAAACTTGTTTTTATGTTGTTGTTGTATTCTTTTATTTCAATTCGCTCAGGGCACAGGCAATACTGCCTTCTCACCGGAGAGAGGATTCTCCGATTCCTACCAAAAACGAGAAATCTGCGATATGAATATGTATGAGATGTTAGGGTCAATTCTTACTTATCAGCGAAATTGCCGATAAAAAACAAGTTCGATGCTACAGTATTGCGGAGTGGATGAGAAAGAACGGATCTGCTCTAAACTACTTCCAACCAAGTATTATAATTCTTTATAAAATGCTGTGCAAGTGGAAATTTTGTCGCGTGACACTTCCGTCCAACTCCAGAAAAAGGGACATACAGCGTGTCTGGGGGAGGGGGGGGGGGCACCATTGTGTCGAGGGGTTCCAGATGAGAAACATACTTGCGTAAAAGAACGGGCCCACGCCCATCTAGCACATCCAACTCTTTGCTCATGCATGTTTATTATTCTCGTTCTCTTTCAACAGTTGCACAATTTACACTCCAGACCAGTTCCTCGAAAACAGGCTCCGAACTTCTCTTTTTTCAAAAGTTTGGAGCCTGTTTTACTGCCTGCTTTTGTCGGTTCGGTGCACCAGAGCTTTGAAGGGTGGGGGGGGGGGGACAGATACACACATTTACCATATTTTTAGACTTTGTTCAGTGTGACCAGGCAGGTGATGCGCGTGTGTTAGATCAGTCAGACCGTTAGACTGTTGGCATTCAAATAATCTACACTCTACTGGGCCCTGCTGTGGCTCTGACTAGGTGAACGCACGGCGGAGTGCACGCACACACACCCTTGGACGCCCATCACCGGAGGCGATGCTACAGCAGAAGCCACAGCAACTTGTGCACACACACACCATGTACCATGTATACGCCCGTCGCAAGAGAAGCACGCAAATCTGCAAATGCACTGGATGTGCATCCACAGATTTTCTCTTATAGCAACGATAGCGAACAAGATCTGAATGAGACAGATCAAGACTTGCGCCACATAACTGTCTAATCCACACCACTGGCGAAGCCATGTGAATCGACCACCAATGTACACCTGGTCTACACCACACGGAGTACATCGGCATAAAACGGCCAAGACAGTTACCTATGCACACCCTACACTTGCTGGGGTAACCAGTATAGACAGCACGCTGCTTTGATAAAAGCAGACACTAGATGCACTGGTACCTTGAAGTGAAATTGGTGTTACTTTACCAACCAGCCTCGGCAACTGAGTACTGGGAACACACACACACACACACACACACACACACACACACACACTCACACACACATAAACACACTCTCTCTCTGTCTCATACACACGTGTGCGCACCACCACCCCCCCCCCCCCCCCCCCACACAACCACACACACACACACACACACACACGTGCACCCTCGGAGAACATGTACAGCAGCCCGCCGCCACTACCATCACAACAACGCACCCAAATTATTCAATTCTAAATACCCTATCTTCATCCTTCATGAAACGGCTTAACAACTTCCATATCCAGAGCAACAGTTAGATTTTACAAACAAATCACCGACAAGGAGTTTTAAATTCTACAAAGCATGAAATTGAACGTCATTCGAAATAGTTTACAGCAGAATCTGGAATCTGATCACAAACACGACAGACGCGGACACGGGACGAAAAAAAGAAGATCTTTCAAGTTGTTCAAACTGAACACGAGCGGAGGAGGCACTACAACTGGCACTCTACTGCACACGGCGGAGTTGTAAGTTGGTCGTCAGTCGCATGCGCTGCACATATGAGGGGCATGCAAGCTCGCATGGCTGCTGTACATACTATGAATATGAACTCCAGGGGGAAGACTGCCAGTGTCAGCGCTGGGGTTGTCGGTGCTGTGACGGCGGTGGCTACTTGATTATTTGACTACGGCCCATCTGCCAATACAGGCCGCTAGTAACACCTGAGCAAATGTCACACAAGACACAGCTTATTAGGGTGAGTTTACTATAAACATAACCTGCATGGAGACAATAATTTAATTTTCTCATTGGTTGAGGGAAAGATGCGAATGGGAAAAGTCTGAAGAAAAAATTGATTGTCACCGCCAGGACTCGAACCTGGGACCTTCGCTTGAGGGAATTAGAGCTATAAAAAGGTTCTATTCTGGAAATAAGTACAGATAAACATGTAGCAAGTTGAAATGTTGTGTGTGATGTCTGCGGCATTCATACTGCGTATAGCTCTTATTACAATAAAGACTCTTTTCAAATATTCGACGAGGAGACAACTTTAATATGGCAATAAGGAGGACGAGCCGAAGTGACATTTTGATTACTTTATTAAACAATGTAAGCGAAGACTCTTTTTTTTCTACAAAAATGCATTCTCTGCAAAGTACACTGGAGAGACCGATCATAGTATTTCAGTGCATAGCAAGTCTCCTCCACTTTTCTTTACTCCGAAGCCATCGAATCATAGTACATGTATTGGGCGGGCCTGCCCGTTCGACATCGGTGAAAAACAAACCAATTGCAGAATATACAAAAATACGCTCGGCATGCGTCTCCACAAAATACAGAGGAACATCATTTTTTTATAAAATAAAATTGGCAGATAGTATACAGCCTGCTGGGTCGCATACATGCATGTCAGTGGGTACTCTCATACATGCATGTCAGTGGGTACTCTCATACATTCATGTCAGTGGGTACTCTCATACATGCATGTCAGTGGGTACTCTCATACATGCATGTCAGTGGGTACTCTCATACATTCATGTCAGTGGGTACTCTCATACATTCATGTCAGTGGGTACTCTCATACATTCATGTCAGTGGGTACTCGTGTACAGTCAGACCTCGCTTTTGACCGCACACATCCGTTTTCCACCAACAAATATCCGGATAGGCGAGGGAACCGGATAATCGGACACATATACTGTAAGTATGAATGACATATGCTGCAAAATCGGAAACCAACGATTTTTTTCCGGACGGTGAGAGATCCGGATAAGCGAGGTCTGACTGTAGAGTAGAACTCGGGTTAGGGATCCACCTAACTCTGCGCGGCCGACATAGCTAGACTCAGTTCCACCTAACTCTGCGCGGCCGACATAGCTAGACTCAGTTCCACCTAACTCTGCGCGGCGGACATAGCTAGACTCAGTTCCACCTAACTCTGCGCGGCCGACATAGCTAGACTCAGTTCCACCTAACTCTGCGCGGCGGACATAGCTAGACTCAGTTCCACCTAACTCTGCGCGGCCGACATAGCTAGACTCAGTTCCACCTAACTCTGCGCGGCGGACATAGCTAGACTCAGTTCCACCTAACTCTGCGCGGCGGACATAGCTAGACTCAGTTCCACCTAACTCTGCGCGGCGGACATAGCTAGACTCAGTTCCACCTAACTCTGCGCGGCGGACATAGCTAGACTCAGTTCCACCTAACTCTGCGCGGCGGACATAGCTAGACTCAGTTCCACCTAACTCTGCGCGGCGGACATAGCTAGACTCAGTTCCACCTAACTCTGCGCGGCCGACATAGCTAGACTCAGTTCCACCTAACTCTGCGCGGCCGACATAGCTAGACTCAGTTCCACCTAACTCTGCGCGGCGGACATAGCTAGACTCAGTTCCACCTAACTCTGCGCGGCGGACATAGCTAGACTCAGTTCCACCTAACTCTGCGCGGCGGACATAGCTAGACTCAGTTCCACCTAACTCTGCGCGGCGGACATAGCTAGACTCAGTTCCACCTAACTCTGCGCGGCGGACATAGCTAGACTCAGTTCCACCTAACTCTGCGCGGCGGACATAGCTAGACTCAGTTCCACCTAACTCTGCGCGGCGGACATAGCTAGACTCAGTTCCACCTAACTCTGCGCGGCGGACATAGCTAGACTCAGTTCCACCTAACTCTGCGCGGCGGACATAGCTAGACTCAGTTCCACCTAACTCTGCGCGGCCGACATAGCTAGACTCAGTTCCACCTAACTCTGCGCGGCGGACATAGCTAGACTCAGTTCCACCTAACTCTGCGCGGCGGACATAGCTAGACTCAGTTCCACCTAACTCTGCGCGGCGGACATAGCTAGACTCAGTTCCACCTAACTCTGCGCGGCGGACATAGCTAGACTCAGTTCCACCTAACTCTGCGCGGCGGACATAGCTAGACTCAGTTCCACCTAACTCTGCGCGGCCGACATAGCTAGACTCAGTTCCACCTAACTCTGCGCGGCCGACATAGCTAGACTCAGTTCCACCTAACTCTGCGCGGCGGACATAGCTAGACTCAGTTCCACCTAACTCTGCGCGGCCGACATAGCTAGACTCAGTTCCACCTAACTCTGCGCGGCGGACATAGCTAGACTCAGTTCCACCTAACTCTGCGCGGCCGACATAGCTAGACTCAGTTCCACCTAACTCTGCGCGGCGGACATAGCTAGACTCAGTTCCACCTAACTCTGCGCGGCGGACATAGCTAGACTCAGTTCCACCTAACTCTGCGCGGCGGACATAGCTAGACTCAGTTCCACCTAACTCTGCGCGGCCGACATAGCTAGACTCAGTTCCACCTAACTCTGCGCGGCGGACATAGCTAGACTCAGTTCCACCTAACTCTGCGCGGCGGACATAGCTAGACTCAGTTCCACCTAACTCTGCGCGGCCGACATAGCTAGACTCAGTTCCACCTAACTCTGCGCGGCCGACATAGCTAGACTCAGTTCCACCTAACTCTGCGCGGCGGACAAAGCTAGACTCAGTTCCACCTAACTCTGCGCGGCGGACATAGCTAGACTCAGTTCCACCTAACTCTGCGCGGCGGACATAGCTAGACTCAGTTCCACCTAACTCTGCGCGGCGGACATAGCTAGACTCAGTTCCACCTAACTCTGCGCGGCCGACATAGCTAGACTCAGTTCCACCTAACTCTGCGCGGCCGACATAGCTAGACTCAGTTCCACCTAACTCTGCGCGGCGGACATAGCTAGACTCAGTTCCACCTAACTCTGCGCGGCGGACATAGCTAGACTCAGTTCCACCTAACTCTGCGCGGCGGACATAGCTAGACTCAGTTCCACCTAACTCTGCGCGGCCGACATAGCTAGACTCAGTTCCACCTAACTCTGCGCGGCGGACATAGCTAGACTCAGTTCCACCTAACTCTGCGCGGCGGACATAGCTAGACTCAGTTCCACCTAACTCTGCGCGGCGGACATAGCTAGACTCAGTTCCACCTAACTCTGCGCGGCGGACATAGCTAGACTCAGTTCCACCTAACTCTGCGCGGCGGACATAGCTAGACTCAGTTCCACCTAACTCTGCGCGGCGGACATAGCTAGACTCAGTTCCACCTAACTCTGCGCGGCGGACATAGCTAGACTCAGTTCCACCTAACTCTGCGCGGCGGACATAGCTAGACTCAGTTCCACCTAACTCTGCGCGGCGGACATAGCTAGACTCAGTTCCACCTAACTCTGCGCGGCGGACATAGCTAGACTCAGTTCCACCTAACTCTGCGCGGCGGACATAGCTAGACTCAGTTCCACCTAACTCTGCGCGGCGGACATAGCTAGACTCAGTTGTACAGGGATGGGCAAAAAGGTGTGCAAAACGACTTTTTGTGAGTAGATGGACCCCGGAAAATAGTTTGGAGCGAAAAAAGTACGGCTTCCTCGGAAACCGACGCCCCCCCCCCCCCCTCCCCCCTTGGGCCGGAAATTAAATCCCGGTACAGTGGTCCCTCTATAATCCGGCACCATTTGTGCCACGAAAATCTGCTGGATTAGGGAGGGTGCTGGATTAACAAATCTGATTTACTGCTGCAATGTACATGAAGAAGACATTTTGGCTACTGAAAATTGTGCTGGTTTATCGAGGGTGCTGGATTATAAAGTGCCGGATTAGAGAGGGACGACTGTATAAGGATCACCCGCACAATGTACATGCCCAGTCCCCCCCCCCCCTCCCCCTCCCCCTGGGCTCCGATCCCTAATCCGGTGTGACCCTTAACCCGGGTTCTACTCAAATCGTAACTGAGCACACGCGTGTGAGTCCAGTTCATGATACGCTAACAACTGCATGTGAGATTTGAGTGTGAACGCTTGTGGCGAGCTAAAGATAAGAGTGTATTTCAGTGACTCAGTCTCGGGGCAATAAACCAAGGACTATTTGCAGGCGCGTTTGCTTGTTCGGTGCGGCTATGTTACGCAGTATATGTGTGTGTGTGTGTGTGTGTGTGTGTGTGTGTGTGTGTGTGTAAAAAGTAGGGATTCGCTGGCCACAAAAAGCCATTTCCTAGCTGTGTGGTGTAGACCAGGGCTGCATAGTGGCGGTCAATTCTTCAGCCTTACAAGCTGTTGAATGGTGCAATCCCAGCACACGCTACTATGGCTTCTGCTGTAGCATCGCTATCCTCGCCTGCTGGCGATGGGCGTCAAATGGTGAATGGTGTGTGCATGCGTGTGTGACTGTGTGTGTGTGTGTGTGTGTGTGTGCGCGCGCGCGCGTGCGTGCGAGCGTATGTGTGTACGCTATATCGTAGATGTTCCATCTGTGGGGTTTAGGGAGGAATTTCTCCATTCCAATCCCATCACCTGAGTATGCTAGACAAGTCTGTACGCTACTCCCATAGAATATGTACATGTACGTTCAAATGTCAATGTTTTCTTGTTGTCAAGAACTATTAAAAGCGATCCAGACGCTGTTGGTGTGCTATGCCAGTATTGGTGAAATCGCGAAATCATTATTTTTATTTTTATCCTTGGCTCTCCATCCGAGTTCAATCATAATTATTATTATTATTACGAGAGCATTTCCACACTAGCAGCTAGTGTATGCCTGTTGTGTCTTACCGGAGCCGCCAGTCATCAGGTCACCTCATTCGTTCACTGCGAGCTCGTCGCCAGCCCAGCACCGTCACCACCAGCAGCAGCAGCCTCCGCGGCCTTTTCTTTCTCGATCAAGTCGTCCACGATCCGTCGCCGTTCCAGACGGTCTAAAGTCAAAATGTGCACCCCGTTCTGGATGAGGTAGTAGGCGACCCATATACCCAGGCAAAAGTTCAGAGCGAACCTCACCATCCATGTTTGATTGCTGGCTGCGCCCCAACGGTACGCGTCGGACGTCTCGTCGGTCAATGCTCCTTGCGTGTAGAGCTCGAACGGCGTGACGTGGCCGTTGGGCGCGCGAGGAATTGGCCTGCCGTCGGCGTCCTCCACAGGCACCTCGAACTTTCCCACTCGCTTATGGCGGAAGATGATGTCTGCTATTCCTCGGCTGCTCTGAAGGGCAACAGGGCCTGCTGAAACTGCGCCTGGCGTTGCTGGAAAGTTTGATCGATGTAGACAAATTGCAGAATTCAAGCCAGGCCTTGCACACCTCCTGAGAGCTGAGGCCGCCATAGCTGCTGCAGAAAGGCTGATAGCTGCTACTGCTGCTTGTCCCACAGCTTAGTCAAGACAAGAGCACCACTGCGCCTCGCCTAAAGTAACTCTCAATCTCTGCTGCTAGCTAGTTCTCGAAGCGCTTGAAGTAGTAATAGTTGAAGTGCAACTATTTCTTTTTAGCTTCGGGCTTTTCAAAAGTTTTGTTGTTTGGAGTTTTCCCTTGCTCATGCTCACATTTGCAGCTGCACTTGCACTGCAGATGCAGAGTCAGCGCTACACGACTGCACATGACTGTGCTGTAGCCTGTAGTCGAGTCTAGGACTTTTGTAGTGAGTACTACATAATCATTAGCGAGGTTTTGCATTCCGAAATTCGGCAAAAAGATTCGGCACGCGGGAGCGAGGTCGAAAATGCACGCGAAGATTCGGCATGTTTGTTCGGAAAAAGCTCACTTTGCCGAAAATATTTTTCGGATGAATTTTCTGTAGAAGAGCGCTAGCGCGTGATTTATTCAAAGAGGTTTCTTATCTCGGCATCGCTTCCCAGGCGTCTTGGGCGACATCAGCGTCGTCAGCTACCTCTGATTGCTCCTCCACTGCTTGTCTACTCTCTTTCGCCTGGAGTGTCTTCATCGTCATCTGTGTGGCTGAAAAGACTATGGCGATACTCATAAAGTTTGACTTGGCCATGGAGTTGGTTTTCTGAGGCGACTGAGGAGACAGGTTTGGCCCTCGGCTCTTAGGGCGATCAAAGTTCGTTGGAATCAGCAAGAATAGGAGCACGGGACAGGACGTTGCTGATGCTAGGGCTCACGAAATGAAAACACATCATTTTCGACTTGCAAAACAAACGTTGGTGCGAAAATTCGACATTTTGATGTTCGACAAATGACCGAAAAGCGCCGAACCGAAATTCGGAATGCAAAACCTCACTATTGTAGTACTGTCTGTAGTGTAAATCTACGATCGAGCCAGGGAGTCGTATCTCTACGACTCCCTGGCTCGATCAGTACTACTAGTAGTAGTACTACACACGTCACTACTACAGTAGAGTAGATCAGAGCTGTAGAGTCTAGACTAGAGTCGAGAGAGCATGCTAGCACTGAGCAGAGCTAAAGCCAAAGCCAAACTGGCCCAAACTCCAAAGCCAAGGGAAGGGAATGAGGTACGTGACCATGGTGACAGTACAGGATGCATGCTCGACTTCCATCCACGAGTAGACCTACGAGTACGAGTAGATCTACGGCTAGTAGTAGTCGACTTACGAGTACGAGTGCGAGTTGGAGCATGCATGTCTGTTTCACCATGTTCACACGCTCACCTGTCCATGTCCTGTCCTGTTGAGCCACTGCCATGGCCCCGGAGGGCTGCTGAGAGAGAGGAGGAGCACACAGCCCTGTGACGATCCAGGTGATGCGGTAACGCGAAATCGGCGGGAGCAGGCGCAAACATGTGAAACCCACACGCACACACACACACAGACTCAGAGTCACACTCACACAGGCTTTGTGGCAAGTACGCCAGGGCCGGGGTAGTTTGATCATCCTGTGATATGGTCATCATGTATAACTGTTGATGGCACTGGCAGCGCTGCAGCTGCGGCACTGTATGGGCAGGATTTCGAGAAGAACGCGCCCTGATCATCCCAAGTCTCCCAAGAAGAGTGCATAATAAACTGGTACCTTGGTTTACGCACTCTTGATCTTGTCAGTCTTGATACAACTCATTTTTGATAGACCACGTCGTGGCGGACGTTGGACAGTCAGAAAAAATGTCAGTCGCCCAGTTCCCTTTTTCCCTGTTTCCCCGTGGTCACTTCAGTAGTCGTGTGACAGAATCAGTGTTCAACATTTATACTGTGATCTCGACTCTCGTGTTCTCCCCTTATGCAACGGTGGAATACCCAATGGTCCGAGTACTGGCCGAACTGTTATTTTGAGCAGGAAAACATGTCTTCGGCAGTGAGTTTGCCCGCTAGTGGAGACGTGTACTGGTACTTGTACTGGTGCTTGTAGGACTTTCGTACGTACAGTCCTGCGGCGCTCGCTGCTCTGTGACTGACTGGCTCGTGGAGTGGCACAGGCCTGTTGTCGGGCCAGGATCTACTTGAAGGAGGCGAGCATCGGCGGTGCTTGGAGCGGTGAAGAGCTGACCTGTGGCAGGTAAAATTTAATACCAACCACAATACACGCTGCATAATGCATTGCATGCGAACAGATACTACTGTCGTGGACATGGAAATCCGGTCGCACGTCTAACGGCCCCAGGACGCTGGCCATGCAGCCGTGGCATTGTATTATTATGCGCTGCTGCTGGTCGCATCGGCTCAACATGTGCACTGCATGCAACGACATACATCATGTACGTTCTGAGGGCGCCGGCCCCCGGTCATTCGACTGGATTTCCATGTCCACGACAGTACTCAGTAGGTCTGAACGCCTTAAGGCTTTACGCGCTAGCAGCGTTTGAGGAGGTTGAAGTGACGGGCACATCTACATGTACATACTCCTACACACTCAAGCACTGCCATGTTCTCTGATGACATCATCAGTTGAGATGCTTTGACAAAGTCGCGGCACAGCAGTGCACCAGCCACTCACTCTGTATACTGCAATTTCACAAATTTCCGATGTACTTTTATTTTCAGTACTTTCGGTGCGTTTTCCCAAAGATGCCATAATTTTTCGCAACTTATGCTTTTCGCAGCCGTGCCAAAACAAGTGCTAGTTGCTGAAATCGCATCCATATTAATTTTTCAGAAAAAGCTCAAAAGTAGGGTACCCTGTAAGAAGGCCCTAGGCCTGTGGGAATGCCCTATTAAAAATTTAATAAAATTAATAATAATAAAGAGTCGGCGTGGAGAAAGCAATTTTATTAGTGCAATTAGGAGTATAATCGATGCAGACATGGCCAGACAACAACGAGTTCATGGAATTTTTAAGGATTTTTATGTTATTCAAAATCGATTTTCGTGTTCCGCTCATCAGTGAAAATTTATGCACGGAATGGACTTGGCCCCCGCAAAATGGATAGTGGAAATGGGTGTGCAGTAGCAGAGAACCCAGCAACGGTGACGCGGAGCAGCGGTCAAACGACTTATGATGCTGGTGGAGATGATGGAGCCATGTTGGAGGCTGATAAGGAGTGCAGTGAGACTGAGCATCAAACGGATGATGAGGAAGTGACTGATGATGATGATGGTGGTGATGAGGACGATGATGATGAAGATGAGACGGAGGACGAGGATAAGGCGGAGGAGGTCGAAGGAAAGGAGCGGGATGAGACGGAAGAGAGCGACGTGAGCAAAAAGTCAGCTGTATTTTGTCACTTGTTATCACGTCCAGATTGTCTTGGTGTGTACGATGATTCTCACTTTTCTGTTTTGTGCCGTGCAAGTTATGTTAAGCAGTTGAAGGTTCTGGAAGCTGTATGTATTCGTGTGCATAATCCTGTTCTTTGTAAACAAAAGAAGCATGTAGTCGCGCTAAAGTTGTTCTCGTAGCTGGTTATCAGATGTAAATGTTGTGTCATGTTGCACTGTATCACCTCTTGCTTTGTGGCTGCACTCAGTTATAATTATACGTTAGCACTATGTTTGACACCTATTATGTAATGCTGTAGCACTTCCTTTGTTGTTCACACTTTTAATTAATTATGCTGTTATAAAATGTTCTATTGTTGTACACAGTACCCTCAGTTCCGATACTATTCACTGATGAGCGGAACACGAAAATCGATTTTGAATAACATAAAAATCCTTAAAAATTCCATGAACTCGTTGTTGTCTGGCCATGTCTGCATCGATTATACTCCTAATTGCACTAATAAAATAATAATAAAAGTTGCTAATATCGCAACCTACAATTGGAGAGTTCTTGTGCAAAAACCTACAAAAAAGGGAGCAGAAATAGCAGAAGTGCAGCGCCAGCAAACTCGCACTCGTAGATCTGCACCCCCTCCTGCTGCTAACCACCACTTTACACAGTGCCAGTAGCCTGTTGCATGTACCCTACACGTGCATGTACATGTACATGATTCCAGTGCAAGGAAAAGGGGATGCACCCTAATAATAACTACTGTCGATCTACTGTTTCTCTGAAATCAGTCTGAAGGCAGGCGAGAAATGAGCGAGTACAAGTATGCATTTATCCGACATGTAGTCGCTGAGTCGGTGACGACCTTTTGACCCCATGCCATGGGGCCAATTGCGCCAATGTTGCGGAAAAGTTGTGAAATAGTTCGCGAAAAAAAGTTGCGATTTCTTCCTAAACAACGAAAAGTTGCGAAAAAAGTGGCGAGCATCTTTGGGAAAGGGCTAGTCTGTTTCATACCTAAAATATTAATACACCGAACAAACACTAACACACATAATCCAATAGGGAACTGCTTCCCTGAACCGAAAATTTCTGTTTACCTAACCTAGCCTGTTGCCCTCAAACCCGAAAATATTGAGCACCGAAAATTTCTGAAATTAGAGTACTTAGCGGCCCAAAAGCTGTTCCGGAATTCCCGCTGCCTGAGTATCATGACTTGTTTCGCATAACCTCACACATGTAGCTGTACAAAGTGTGAAGGAACCATGCTCGACTTCGTAGACACGTTCATCGTAGACACGCTTCTTCTCGCCTTCAAGCCTACCGGGTAGAGGGAGGGGAGGGACTTGGCACGATAGCTCTTCTCACGTGGGGATAAACCACCCTTGTATCGAAGAATGCGTTGCGGCTATCGGTCCAGAATCCCTTCACCCGCAGGTCCACACAGGCATCAGGATCAGTGTTGGCTGCCCGATGGTGAAAGGTTTCCGGCTGGTTAGGCCCTCATCAGACTACGTACATAGAAAATCCAGTACAAAATCACATAAAACCTAAAAGGCAACATTTTTCCACGCGTGCATACAGACTACACATTTTACATGCAATATACAGGCAACCTTTGACCCTACGAAATTGCGCAAGGGGCCTGGGATGTGTGAAAGCAGCGGACAGTCGTACCCGGGTACAAAGTTCGTACAACTGCCTGGTGAAAGTACGATAAATGCAGGAAAGTTGCCTTGTACAAGGGTTCGCACCTTGCCTGAAAGGATTGGGCAGCTTTTTAGGCTTCCCGCCAGATTCTTGTTGTTGTCTTGGAAACTTCTATGTAAATGTGACTTATAGGCTGTCCTGTAGCTAGTCTGAAAAGGGCCTTAGGGGCTGCAATGGTGGCTCCACCTTCACATCATGATGGAGCTCCTTCATGCACAACGTGATGAAGTCAGTAGGGCCACTGTGCCACATGTGGATGAAACTCGTGAGCTTGCCAACTTGGGCGTGGTCGGCTGAGAACCTTAAACCACAAGGACAGGATGCTGGTAGGTTGTCCAAGGGCCAACAGTACCGGAGCCTGATGTGGTCGTGAAGGTTAAGCCAATCACGGCTGAGTGTAAAAGAGAAAGGACCTATAAGTTACTAGTTATGACTAACAGTCCACCAAGGTAACGAGATAACACACAGTCAGATAGTGCGACAACAGGGTACAAAACTGACAAGGATATTGAGACATTTGACTACACCTAGCCACAACACATCTATGAAGCGCAAGCCAACAACCTTCCAACTTTTTGAAAGGCTCAGGTGCGGAAAGTTCCAACGAGGGAAAGGAATGCGTTGCGAAAATGTCCAGAGTGCTAATAATATTACCTGGTGCTCTGATGGAGCGAGTGCCAATTACCCATGCTCTCTGAGTGTCCAGCAGGGGGTAGTAATATACCGGTATTTTACAACTCCCCACTGTAGAGTGTGTGTCAGGTGCTAACCGGACGGGTGTCAAGTGCTAATATTACTACTCCAAACCTGCATCAAAGTTAGATGTATGCCACTCCTCAGCTTGGCTGCGTGAAATCTCTCAACTCCGTAAACTTTTTTTTAAAGAATTTTACGGAGTTGGCAGATTTGACGCAGCCAAGCTGAGGAGTGGCATACATGTAGCACCACTGACCAATGTCTGGTATACTCCACACAAAGTTTTTAATACAATCAGCAAAATGTCTGGTATAAGACTATAGTCTAGTATTGCTGCTCAATGAAATCCAGTCGTGTCACTCAAGTATGCGCCGGGCATTGCCAACACTGGGCTGCGAGATGATGCAAGGCGCAAACGTGAGTGACGCGACTAGATTTCACCATTGAGGAGCACTGTGGTTAAAGTCCTGTGATGCCAAGCAACGAGCCTCAGTCTTGTCTGTAACACTGTGATGCCAAGCAGCGAGCCTCAGTCTTGTCTACGAATGTCCCGACATGTGCTGGTTTTAATGTACATGTTCTTGTCTGTAACACTGTGATGACAAACGGCTAGTCTCAGGCCTGGCTGTTTCCGTGTGCTGGTTTCGACTGTCTTGTCGGCAATACCACCGTTTTACTTACGTCGTCTCGTGGCCGTGACGCACCAGTTGTTGTCATGGATACTGTGGGTTCACGTCACCGTGGTCAAAGCAGCACCACGCCACAGCGTCTGATTCGCGGCAGTCATGTGATCGTTGACCCGGCAACCATCTTGACTGACGAAGAAATGCGCCGCGAGGATAAGTACAGCGAGGAGACCATGCTGGACTTAGTGACCAATCGCGTGGCCATGCTGGAATTTCTAGCACGACGACGTCTTATCGCAAACACCCTCGAGTGTCGTCGGTGTATTGAGCGTGGTGATGGCACGCGCAGGATGAAATTGCAACATCGCCTAGCGGCACAAAGCGGCGCTCGTTGGCTGTGCACGAACTGTAGGGCGGTTCGAGCCGTCGGGACAACGTCCGCGTTCCATAGCGGCGGGCTATCAATGGACAACGCCGCCGCCGCCGAGGAGGGTGGCTTTGAGGTGGTTGTTAGCGTCTTCTCCTGCGTCTTCTTCTTTGGGTCGATGGGCACAATGCTCCGACTGCGGCAGGCCGCTTGCATAACCGACGCTCAAGTTCAGCGCTGCCTTGACTGGCTAAGCGAATCGAGCATTCGCGTCATGAAGGAGATTATTGGTTTCAATCTAGGAGCGTTTGGAAAGCCCGATGATGCAAGGACTGTGGCAATAGATGTCGTTCGCATTCGTTCTGAGCCCGTCTTTGTTCTGGTGGAGACCGGCACAGGCCGATGCATAGCCGTTACGTTGCAATCGTACGGGCAGCGGCGTTTTGACAGGCTGCTGGAACATTGGTGTTCTCCACACGCGGTGGTCACGTTTCGTAGCTCTGTGTTCCATCCGCACCTCTTGTTCGCCTCGGACATGGCCTGCATCGATGTGGAGAGTGCGGAGGTTCGATGCAGCACCTACCTTTACGAGGACCATGACCGTGTTGTAGGGAAGGTACATAAGCAAGCGGTCCTACACGAGTGGTTTGTACTCCGATGCGGACTTGACGCTAGCGTTAGCTTGGAAGCATGCCTGGCTATGTTCACCGTGCGCATGAACTGGCCAATACTGTGTGGTGCTAAGACGTGGAGTGCACATCTTGTAATGCTACGTACCTTGTTATGCAGAACACTGTAGATAATAATTTGTACGCTCCAAATGTTATCCCTGGCCTAAGTGCCCGCACACAGCATTACACAGGCTCTATATTGTTATTCTATTAGAGAAGGAACTGAAGTACAAGGAAAGAGAGCTCGCATTCTCGGACGTCTAGTCCAGCACAGCAAGCATGCAAAACAGCCCCGAGCCAGGCACGCATGCAAAACAGCCCCGAGCCAGGGACGTCTAGTCCAGCACAGCACGCATGCAAAACAGCCCCGAGCCAGGCACGCATGCGCCTTATTGCATCTATGTATACAGCAGCAACGCAGCATTTCACGGGGACTTCTAGAAGGCCAAACCGTCCACACTCGTCAGTACTCATTACTCGGTCATTAGTCTTGTCTTGTCTCCCCTGCAAGATGCGTTGTCGGCGTGGCCATTGCTCCAAGACCAGTGGCAGTGGTCGTATGAGCCGCACAGACTGCATCCACAACCTGTCCCCACTGTCCCCACTGTTGCCATTTTACTCTACTGAGTTTAGTTAGCCCTCAAGTGATGTTCTGATGATACGCTTTTGACCAGGGAGTCGTAAAATACCGACTTTACGACTCCCTGCTTTTGACTTCCCTCCGCGTCTAGCCTAGGACAGCACACATACATGTGGGTAATTGGAAAGGCTTCCTGTCTGAAGCCTTTCCATACTGGTACTCGATGTTCCAGTTTTGTGACACGAGAATGGCACGAGAATTAGTGTACCGCTGAGTGTACCGCTATACACGTGGTCGACACGTAGTCGACACTTTGTTGATACTTTTTTGACACGTGACCCCGTCAACGGTCTGCTTTGTGCCAATGCCACTCGGTAAACGCCGATGTCGCGTACGACAAAGACGACTATCCCGTACGCGAAATAGTTGAGAACTGCATGACGTGGACCTGACGGCAAGGACAACTGCGAGGAGGCCCCTTTCAGTACCCCTGACGGGAAGGAGAACTGCAGAAGTCGAACGAGGAGGCCCCTTTTCCGTACCCCATACTGCAAAGTGCCATTGATGGATACCTTTTGCACCTGGAACGACCCCTTAAACGCTGTCGCGGCGACTATCCCGTACGCGAAATAGTTGAGAACTGCTGACGTGGACCTTTTGCACCTGGAATGGCCCCGTAAACGCTGTCGTGTCGGCGGAGTGAATGTGCAGGGTACTAGGGTGAAAAGAATTGCTGCAAAGACGTCCCCTCGAGCTCCTCTACTAGGCTCTAGGCCTTTGCCTTTGGAGACATCGTCGGCGAACTGAATGCGCAGGGCGAAAAGAATTGCTGCAAAGACGTCCGCTCTAGGCCTTTGGAGACATCGTGGGAACTCCTTCCGGTACTATACAAACTGCTGACGTGGCCGTGGCCGTGGACATGTACATGGAGAGTCATGGTGGGACTTCATGTACATGGATACATGGTGGGAATTCCTTCCGGCACCCTCGTACCGCAAAGCCAACGGTGGGGAAGGAGAAGTGCAGACGTGCAGGAAGACGAACGAGGAGGAACCAGGACGAGCGAGCAATGGCAGGACTAGCTGGACCGTAAGTAATAGCTGAATTGTGCATGACAACTTGACATCCATGCGGCACTCGCCACTTGCCACTGCATATTTCTTGTCCACTAACAATGTCTCTCCTCTGCCCCCTGTGTGTCCACGGCCCTGTTTCTGAATTGGCCCGATGAATCAAATGTCTTCCGCAACTGGAACGGCCCCGTGAACGCTGTCGCGTCGGCGACTGAATGCGCAGGAGGGAAAATATTGCTGCGAAGACGTCTCCTCTAGACGACGGTAAGGCACCCCATTGATATGTTGCCAGTGTGTGCCAGGGTATCGGCGCGATGGTGAATGAGGAATGATGAAGGGTACGGTGGGACTGTAGACCTGTTACCTTCTACTAACACGTTATCAGGTGGAGAGTGTCTTGTACTCACGTTATCAGGTCGAGAGCGTATTGTAGTCACTCTCTCTATTCCTGTACTTCATTACGTTTAAGGTGTACGTTTAACTTCTCAAAAAAATTTAATGGTCTACAGTCGTGTCGGAAGGGTACGGTGGGACTGTAGACATGTTACCTTCTAACACGTTATCAGGTGGAGAGTGTCTTGTACTCACGTTATCACTATTATCAGGTCGAGAGCGTATTGTAGTCACTCTCTCTATTCCTGTACTTCATTACGTTTCAGGTGTACGTATAACTTTTCCAAAAAATTTAATGGTTCACGTCTTCAGATAGAGAGCGTATTGCACCCACTGTCTAGTCTCTGTAGTGCATTGAGATTTTGTTGATCGAACATGAAATGGATACACAGACAAAGCCAGGCCAAGTACATGGCGAGATGTCGCCAGAAGAACGTCTTCAGGCAGAGAGCGTATTGCACCCACTGTCTAGTCGATTTTGTGGATCGCACATGAAATGGATACACAGACAAAGCAGGCCAAGTACATGAGAGAGTGGACGATGTGCAGATCGACACGGCCTGCGGGTACTTCATTAAAGTTACCCGTGACATAACTTGGATAAAAGTTAATCACTGCAAAAACATTGCCAAGTATGTGAGCACTTTGGACTTGACAGAAGAGTGCACGGGCGACGTTGACAAAACATACCGCGGTGACTGTCACTATCATGACAGCAGGGCACATTGCACGCAGCATCGCAGATCGTGTCGAATTGCGCATCATAATAATTATTGCAAAATTGCTCCTGTGCATGCAAGTGGATTTCATTGCACTTCTCAGTTTGGGAAATGCTCGATTATGACAATTCTCCGTGTGAGTGCACTAGCCCTGAACAGACATGTAGGTGAACCGTTTGTGGTGTCTCATAGCCTACCTCACGACCTTCTGCTTTCTTTCTTCATCACTTGTATCTTGCAGGTATATCATCCCGTGACGACCACATTGAAGTCTGAATTTGAAGTGTGAAGATGCTTCAGCAACCACATCGTACTTTTCCATTGCTTTCATTGTGCTTCTACTGTGCATGTGTGTAACTTGTGGGGTAAACATGTGATGACATTGTATGCTGGCGACACGGTCAGATGTTCATGCGTCTAACGTACACCTGCATGTTATGCATTGAAAAGGGTTTGCCACTTGCGATCCTGGGACGAGTATCAGGTCCGCTTTGTCCTGTGTGGGCTGTATCAGATTGCTGTTCACTTCTCTATCTGTTGGATATGTCACTTTCTGCAAGTTTCTGGTGTATGATGGCCACGCCCTTGCTTGTCACTTTGTATGATATTACATTCTGTATTCGCTGCTTCCATGGCATGGTCTGCAAACTGCAATCCTTGGGCAAATGTCATGTTTGCTATGTTGTGCTTTGGCCGTCAGCTTGTCTACACGCTGTAGTTGAATTATTTTTGTTTCACAACTGACTTCCTCAAGTACGGTGGCCACTGCTTTGCATGGCATTATACATGAAGAATTTCCTGTTTGTGTCGTGTGCATGTGCGTATGTGTGCGTGGCCACGTGTGTGTACCATGTGCATACACATGTTTGTGTATCTGTGTGCGGGGTAGCGAGGCGGGGAGGGCTGGTATGTATCAGTGTGTTATTGCAGTCGCATGGCTACATACAGTACATCGCGCGCGTGGTCATCATGTTTACCTTCGGGGTTGGGGTGGGGAGGGAACGGAAAAAGAGCTGAAATTATCCATATAAAAATCGCTCTGTGAGCGGTTCTGAAAAACCTTTACTGGTACTGCCCCGTCGTAAAAGTGATAAATTAGAACTGGCCCATTGTCCCCCCAAATGCGAACTGATCCACCTAAATCGCGAATGACGGGACCCGAACGCACCAGTAGCACGAGGTTCCTACCTGTGGATGCAGATGGGGACGTTGGTCCGGACCATAGGCCATGTACTGTACTAGCGGTAGACTTCCCTATCAAAATAATAAATTCTACTACTACTACTGGTGTTACCCTATGATAATTGCCGTGATCCTGTGCCCTCCCGACCTCGTGCTACTGGTGCGTTCGGGTCCCGTCATTCGCGATTTAGGTGGATCAGTTCGCATTTGGGGGGACAATGGGCCAGTTCTAATTTATCACTTTTACGACGGGGCAGTACCAGTAAAGGTTTTTCAGAACCGCTCACAGAGCGATTTTTATATGGATAATTATTTTACAGGTCTTGTTTTAACCCTTAAAGGGGAAGTTAAGGCAAAAATTAAAATTTCACCAGTTGTAGCCTTCGGGGTGCTGAGTCGAATGGTCTTGGTCCGAGGAAGCTGAGACGCTCCCTTCCTACTTGAATCCCAATCGAATTCGCGCACTTCCACCGAAACTGGGTGACTGCGCCCTACTAGATGGGGATTTGTAGGTAAAATGTCACTAAAAGCGCCATTTCGTTCTTATAAAAGCACGGATGACCGCGATTGGCCCATATGTTGTAGTCTTTTGGACGCTGAGTCGACTGGTTTTGTTCCGAAAAGACTGCGATGCAGCGTTCCTCCTTCATTCCCAATCGAACATGGTTGAACAAGCGGTCACGTGCTGCTGCGTACGCCAGTCACCTGGTCACCGTGCCTGCAGGGTACAACTTACTAGCCTGTTTGACCTTTTTTGGGTGCAGTCCTGTCACTCGAGTTGAACCTTGGTGTGAAAGTTGTCACCTGCTGGCGTGGTGACCAGGTGATTTGGGCACCCAGGAGCACGTGACCGCTTCTTCAACCACGTTCGATTGGGAATAAAGGAGGAACGCTGCATCGCAGCCTTTTCGGACCAAAACCAGTCGACTCAGCGTCCAAAAGACTACAACATATGGGCCAATCGCGGTCATCCGTGCTTTTATAAGAACGAAATGGCGCTTTTAGTGACATTTTGCATACAAATCCCCATCTAGTAGGGCGCAGTCACCCAGTTTCGGTGGAAGTGCGCGAATTCGATTGGGATTCAAGTAGGAAGGGAGCGTCTCAGCTTTCTCGGACCAAGACCATTCGACTCAGCACCCCGAAGACTACAACTGGTGAAATTTTAATTTTTGCCTTAAAGGGGAAGTTAAGGCAAAAATCAAAATTTCACCAGTTGCAGTCTTCGGGGTGCTGAGTCGAATGGTCTTGGTCCGAGAAAGCTGAGACGCTCCCTTCCTACTTGAATCCCAATCGAACTCGCGCACTTCCACCGAAACTGGGTGACTGCGCCCTACGAGATAGGGATTTGTATGCAAAATGTCACTAAAAGCGCCATTTCGTTCTTATAAAAGCACGGATGACCGCGATTGGCCAATATGTTGTAGTCTTTTGGACGCTGAGTCGACTGGTTTTGGTCCGAAAAGGCTGCGATGCAGCGTTCCTCCTTTATTCCCAATCGAACATGGTTGAAGAAGCGGTCACGTGCTCCTGGGTGCCAAAGTCACCTGGTCACCACGCCAGCAGGCGACAACTTTCACACCAAGGTTCAACTCGAGTGACAGGACTGCACCCAAAAAAGGTCAAAACAGGCTGTAAGTAACACGTTAGTTGTACCCTGCAGGCACGGTGACCAGCTGACTGGTGTACGCATGAGCACGTGACCGCTTGTTCAACCATGTTCGATTGGGAATTAGGGGCGAACGCTGCATCGCAGCCTTTTCGGACCGAAACCAGTCGACTCAGCGTCCAAAAGACTACAACATATGGGCCAATCGCGGTCATCCGTGCTTTTATAAGAACGAAATGGCGCTTTTAGTGACATTTTGCATACAAATCCCCATCTAGTAGGGCGCAGTCACCCAGTTTCGGTGGAAGTGCGCGAGTTCGATTGGGATTCAAGTAGGAAGGGAGCGTCTCAGCTTTCTCGGACCAAGACCATTCGACTCAGCACCCCGAAGACTACAACTGGTGAAATTTAAATTTTTGCCTTAACTTCCCCTTTAACTTCCCCTTTAACATACAAGCATCGATCCAATGGGATCGATGGGGTAGGCATTTTGAAATTATCGTAACTTCCTAAAATCTAGGCCTTTTGGAGAGATCGAAATATGTAGGTCGAAGAGAAAAGTCTCAGCTGTCGCCTCAAACAATTCCCGAAGCGATACGAAGAGCGGTTGCTGAGTTATCGCACTCGTAATTCTGGTCCCGGGAAATGTGCGTTCAGAGCGCGACGCGCATGTCGACGGCTGGGATTTTCCCTGTTTACGTCACCTGTTGGCAAGGCTTCACCGATTCAAATTCAAAAGTAGGTTCCCGGGAGTCTCTACGAAAATATTTGAGCTCGATACGAGCAACAGGGGTGACCGTGACAATCATGGTGGATTGAGATCGATCTCGAGCGTGAACTCAGCGCTTTTGCGCGTTCCCTGGCTTGCAGCGCTGGACCAGTGCATCCTGTGGCGCCGAGTGTGGGCTCATTGCGTTCGTCTCGTCAAGACCTTTCCAGGATGCCCAAGATCGTGGAAATCGTCAAATTCAAACCAAAGTTACGTCTAATTTTAGTTTCAGATTTTGTGGTTGCGTGGGCTTGTATACATTTTAATCGGACAGTAAAGGGTTAATTGGTTAGGGCCAGACGGTGCGCTTGTGACGATGTGACGTACCGGTTTGTGTACAAGCAAGAGTAGGCAAACTCTTGGTACAACTACAAGTCATGGTATTATATAACCTAATACTAGTTCAAAAGTAGTATGTGGCGTCTCCACTCAGTCACAGGACCCCGGCAATCAAATTTATTGTTTTCCACTGCTTTTCTCATTATATTTTATCGTTGCCTTATTTGCATTACACGCCGTACTAACGAGTTGTCCAAAGTGTCAACCGCTGGTACTACTACGCATTTTACGGTACCGTTGTACCGTAGCGCATCATCCCTTTTACGGTTGCCATTTTCTTCTCTCCTCTTTTTGGTTTTCTCTCTCGGTCCTAGTTTTTCCCTTTCAGTTACTCAAGAACTCCTTCCAGAAAAACAATGCTTTTTCTCCTCTGGAATTTAGTGGTCTGAGGTCGCGAAACCGTCTAAAACTCCCGGTTTGTTACAGTCAACTTCGCTAATAACGACTGCGGATATAACGACAATTCGCGAATAACGACCGAATTTCCATGCCCAGAGCAAAGTCCCATCTAACTGTATACATTTAACTTCGGATATAACGACTATCTGAATAACGACAATTCGCGTATAGCGACATGCTTTTAGTGCCCCGTGGTCATATTCACTGCTTGAATAACGACTTTCTGGGCTTTTGACAGCTATTTCAAGTACCTGTCAGTCAAGTACATGTACCTGTCATGCAGAAGTACCAGAACCTATGGTGCACTGGTGATGGATATTATAGACCCTTTGCGCAATAAGCGAGAGGGGTCGAGACGGGGCATGCTGTGCGCGCGCTGCACACTTGGCATGCAACCAGCATGCATGGTTTGCTGCATGCAGGACGTGATCAAGTTTCCTGTGACAGGCTAGGTTTTCACGGTCCCGACGCGATGTTCATGTATGTACTCCCCAGCCTTTTTTCATTTGAAGTTTTTTTAGTTCTGAAGGAAGAAGTTCCGAAATATGCTTTCCAAGGACTGTCAGGGGCGGATCCAGGAATTTTTCAGGGGGGGTTCAAATTTTTTCGAGTGCACAGAATTAAATTCGCTTCAAACTGTTTTCGGTTCGTTCACTACACCGGGAGTTGCAAAATCTTTATTGTCACGGTAGCCCTTGCATTGCTTGGCCAATAAGACAAGGGTAATAATGCGTTTAGAGCTTTACAAAGTACAACGCTGCAGCACAGGCAGAAACTAAGGCCGTGACTGCAGCATTTTCCGAACCGACGGAAGGCGAAGTTCTCTGACTGTCCTCCGGCTGGGACTGCGTGTCGCCACATTCGCGTCGTACACGGCGGAACGAAGCCAAGCCCAATGCGGCAATGGCAACTGGCAGGGGCCGCTCGCCTCTTTGGCAGACGTCGCGACATGGCAAACCACACGACAAACACAAACATTATCTTCGTACTGCGACGGAGGAAACCTACAGTCCAGCCAGCGCGAAATAAAACAAAACGACAAGGAAGGTAAGGAGGACAAGTGGCAGTTTCTCCACCTTTTGCTCCACCGCGACATGGCAAACTACACGACAAACACAAACATTATCTTCGTACTGCGACGGAGGGAACCTACAGTCCAGCCAGCGCGAAATGAAACAAAACAACAAGGAAGGAGGACAAGTGGCAGTTTTTCCACCTTTTGCTCCACCACTTGAACTGTCGATCGTTTCAAGTCACATGATACGCGTACAGACCCTTCGATTCGAACGGTACGCGTACAACAGTCAACAGTCCCGGATACCGACCACTGCATGCATGCAGTGACCTAGTAGTTGTACTTGCACTGCCTGTACGTGACTACTGCATGCAGGATGCATGCCATGCGCCAGTGAAGTGCATGCATGATGTACGCTACACTTCGCTGGCTGCGCACGGGGATATCACAAAAAAATCGACTAGACCCATGGTCGAAATTATTTTAGGGGGTTCGTCCGAACCCCCTGAACCCCCCCTGTATCCGCCCCTGGGACTGCT